CTGCGGGCGGACGTGGATGCGTGGGGGGGTGGGGGCTGTGTGTGTACGTGGATGCGTGGATGGGCGGATGGGTGGGTGGATACGTGGGTGGGTGGATACATGGGTGGGTGGGGCTCTATGCGAATGCGTGGGTTGGGGGATAGACGGGCAGATACACGGGCGGGTGGTCCGTGGTTGCATGTGTATGTGGATGCACGGATGCGCGGGGGCATGGACAGGTAAGTTAGTGGGAGATGGCTGGGAGACTCGCAGGCAGTGCCACCTAAGCGTGCCCACCTCTTTCTTCATCAGTGCCGAGTGCTGTCTGCTGCCGAGTCCCCACTGCACCCATCTCGCTGGCTCGTGGCCTCTCCCTGGCTTTTCACTTGTGCCTGGCCCTCACCACTCCTTAAGGGTGCTGTCCTGGGTGCATGGCCTCCTCCTGCTACGCTCCCACGTGCGTGCTGTCAGGTTCCCACCCTCCTCCTACCTGGCGCCTCCGTTATCTCTCGGCCACTCCAGACCCTACAGTCCCGGGGGGCTTTCCCTGAGCACTCGTCCCCGCCGATCCCCAAATCTTTCACAGTGCTCTCCACTGCCTTCTTCATCTAAGCGGCTTTGCCTGGAGGGCTTGTGGCCTCTGCAGCCTTGTAAGGGGAATGTTACCACTTTGGGACTCCCATTTTTTTGGTGAGAAAGCAGGGCTCAGCGGTGGGTGGACTTCCCTGAGCCGCGCAGGCAGCAAGCAGCAGGGGCGTGGGCGACCCGTCCGCAGTTGGCGCTGCCCTTCCCGTGTGTACCCAGGGCAGCTGGGCCCCAGCCCTCCATTCTGGGCCCAGCGTGTTCTGCCCCGGCTAGACCCCTACGCTGAGGCCTCCTGGGAGGAGAGAACCCCGAAAGCGATGACCACGTGTGCGCAGAGACAGCAGCTGTGTGCGTGCCCGAGGCATGCAGGTGGCTTGCCAGGGTCAGAACGCCCTCCCAAGTCACTGGGGGAGCAGTTGGAGCCTAATCCTCTTCCTGGAAGAGGTGCAGCTGTCATTAGGTGCCCGCCTGGGATGAACTGAGGTGTCATCGAAATGTGCCCCCGTTGGTGGGGCCACGCACCTTGACAGTGGCCTTCCAGGTGAGGGTTCTGCAGTGGAGCCGGCCAGTCTGTGGTCGCAGCGCATGGCAGAGACGTGCACAGAGGGTGTCGCGGTGCAGCGAGGTGGGCCCTGGCCGAGCCCTGGACGCCGGCACAGCCCCATTGTCCTTGCCTGGGGCACAGCCTCCTACAAGAGGCCCAAATCTGGGCACATCCGCCACCTTTTCCCCCACTGAGCCTGTGGGTCAGCAGTGTCTGGGACCTCTAGGCTGCCTCGAGCTGGCCCTGCCCTGCTGCTGTGGGGCCCTGGTCTGGTGACCTCTCAGGGCCTGTTCCCGCAGCTGTGTAGGATGGGGGTTAACAGGACTCACTGGGTTCGGGGCGTGGAGGAAGACTGCCTGCAGGCTCTTCGCCCGCCTGCCCGGTCTGTGGCAAATGTGACCTGCGTCATAGCTGTCGTGAATGAGATTGTTAAGTGTGCTCCCACGTGGACGTCTGATGGGGGCTGGAAGACCCTCTGCCTCAGGGTCAGTGAGGGTGCTGCCAGGGAGGCAGAGGGTCTTCCAGCCCCCATGTTGGTGAAGTGGTCCCCACGTGGCCTCATGGATAACATTGCAAAGACCTGCAGCTCTGCTCTCTGTGGTTCATGGTCCGTGGCCTCATGCACACATTCATGGAGGTAGCAGAGTTCGTGGCATGTGCTCCTGCCAGCTGCCAGGCAGGCCTCGGCTGCAGGGGTCAGGGCAGCTCAGCCAGGCTGCAGTGCATGTCAGACTCGTTCCTTTATGGCAAAGCAGCATCCCGCTGTATGTGTGCCCCACATGCTGTGTACCCGTTCACCCGTCAACAGACTTGCGGGGTGCTCTGCTGTGGGCATTCGTGAATCCTCCTGCTGGATTAATTTGATCTTTCCCATTGCTTTGGGGGGAACTTGTTCGTACACCTGGTTCGGGTCCCAGGATCAGAGTTACTGGGCCATATGGTAATTCCACGTTTCACTCTTGGAGGAACCAAGCCTTGCCTCTTTAAAAATAACCCCTACCCCACCCACCCACGAAAGCGAAGGAGGCAGAATGCCTCAGCCCCTACAGTCAAGGTGGGCACGTGTGCAGACTGTGTCTTCTACCCCCGCAGGGAAGAGCTCTGCTGGTGCCTGGCAGGTGTGGGTGGATGGGTGGATGGATGGTGGAAAGCTGGACAGAAGGATGGGTGGTAGGGATGGGTAAATGGATAGGTGTGTGGGTGGATGGATGCATGGATGAGTGGAAAGATGGTTATAAGTGCGGGTGGGTGGGTGGATGGATGGATGGATGGGTGGATGGATGGATGGATGGGTGGATGGATGGATGGATGGATTGGTGGATGGATGGATGGATGGGTGGATGGATGGATGGATGGGTGGATGGATGGATGGATGGGTGGATGGATGGATGGATGGGTGGATGGATGGATGGATGGGTGGATGGATGGATGGATGGGTGGATGGATGGATGGATGGGTGGATGGATGGATGGATGGTGGACAGAAGGATGGGTGGTGGGGGGGTAAATGGATAGGTGTGTGGGTGGATGGATGCATGGATGAGTGGAAAGATGGTTATAAGGGCGGGTGGGTGGGTGGATGGATGGATGGATGGGTGGATGGATGGATGGATGGATGGATGGGTGGATGGAGGATGGGTGGATGGGTGGGTGAATAGGTAGATGGATGGATGGATAGATGGGTGGATGGGTGGATGGAAATTAGGTGGGTGGGTGGGTGAGAGGTAGATGGATGGAAGGATGAATGGAAGGACAGGTGGATGAAAGGGTGGGTGGGTGGAGAGATGAAGGATAGATGGATGGGTGGGTGGAAAGATGTTTAGAAGGACAGATGGACAGATAGATGGATTGGTCGATGGGTGGTGGGCCAGCCTAGCTCGAGTGGCCTTCATGGGCAGCCCTCACAGCTTCCTGGGAGGAGGTCAGGCCCTGAGCAGGAGCTCCTCTGAGGTTCAGCTGGGCTCATGCCCCTTGGCGAGGCTGGGACTCCCAGGCCCCTCGTGTGCCCCAGGTACTGTGTGCTCACGAGCCTGTCCTGTTCCAGGGGGACATCCAGCAGCTTCTCTTCGTCTCAGATCACCGAGCCGCGTACGACCACTGTGAGCACTACAGCCCCGACTGTGACACCGCGGTCCCTGACACCCCACAGTCGCAGGACCCCAACCCAGATGAATACGTGAGTCAGCCCCGCCGGCCTCGGACTGGGCCAGGGCAGTAGCCCCGTTCAGACAAGCCCACTGGGAGAATATGAATGGACCCCGGAGACGGAGGCGGGAGCCCGGCGCTGTCCCGGACGGCGCTCTCTACCGATGGGCCACGGTCGGGCTGTCAGCGGCCCTCGCGATCAGCTCTGAATGAGCCCGGCAGGGGCAGAACCAGGCATCTCTCATGCTCTGAGGCCACAGGTGCCCTCCCCGGACAGACTCAGTGCCCTGGAGGCCATGGGGGGCTGCTTAGTAGGACGGAGTGCAGGGCTGGCCCCGGGAAGGACTGGGCCCTCATCCCCAGGGTGGCAGTGACTGAACAGCCACCTCAGCCTGAGTGTTCACGGTTCCCTGTCACCTGCCTCCTGGGGCCGTGGGGTGGTTTCCCTCTACTGCCCCTCGCCACGCAGCAGCACCTCTGTGGAGCTCCCAAGGAAAGAGCCCTGGCCCCGCAGTTGGGCTGTCCTTTCTCCTAAGCAGCGGCCAGTCGGTTCCATCCCCCTCAGCCTCTGGCCTGGGCCTCCCGTATGGCCGGGCCTCACCCGTGGCAGAGACATCCTCCTGTAGAGCCTGGCCCGTGGCTGGGTGAGGGGAGCCGGCTGATAGCACCCTGCCCTGCGAGGCCTCAGCCCAGCTGTCCTCCTGCCCTGGGTCCCAGAGGGCACGATGTCTCTATGTGAGGATTCGGCTCTCTCTGACTTCTGCTCAAGGGGCCTAGGGCCTCCTGTCTCCTCCCCTCTGCTTCCCAGGGAGCTGGAGAGGGAGTTTACCCCGCCAGGGACTAGGGGCAAAGACTTGGGAGCCAGGCGGGTGGCTCTGCCCGGCGTCCTCTCCCGGCTGACGGGCTGGTCTCAGTGGGTGTTGCTCTCTCCTCGTGACCCCCTTTAGTACCCGGAGGGCGAGGGCGAAGGCGAGGCCTACTACTACGAGTACCCCTACTATGAAGACCCTGACGACCTGGGCAAGGAGCCCGCGCCCACCAAGAAGCCCGTAGAAGCTGCAAGAGAAACCACGGAGATCCCCGAGGTCTGGGCTGAGCTGGGGCTTGGGCTGGGCCGCCCCTGGCCCCCAGAGGCTGAGGGCAGGGGAGGGTGAGGGCGAGGGGACTCAGAGGTGGAGGGTGGCACAGGGGGCTCCCCAGACCAGGGGGGGTCTCGGGATGTGGGGCGTGAAGGTGCTGGCTCCTGGCCCCCACTTGACATCCTCAAAACTGACCTGGAGTGGACCCCGGGTCAGGTGGGTCTCAGGTGCCCCAGCTCGGCGCCGCTGCCACCCGAGGGGTTCCGGCCGGTCAGAGGGCGGGTCTGGTCCTCCCCTTGGCACTGCCATCTCAGCCCTGAGAAGGTGCGGGTGCGGCCACAAGAGCCACGTGGGCCATGGTCACAGTCCCACACAACGGGCACGTGCATGTGAGTGGGTGTGTGCATGTGTGTGTGAACGTGAGCGAGCGGGCAGGCACCCTGTGTGTGTGCAAGGACACGTGCATGTGAGTGGGTGTGTGCATGTGTGTGTGTGAATGTGAGCAAGGGGGCAGGCACCCTGTGTGTGTGTGTGTGCACATGAATCTGAGCGAGCGGGCAGGTGCCGTGTGTGCGTGTGTGTGTACATGAATGTGAGCAAGGGGGCAGGCGCCCTGTGTGTGTGTGTGTGCACATGAATCTGAGCGAGCGGGCAGGTGCCGTGTGTGTGTGTGTGTATGTGCACACGAATGTGAGCGAGCAGGCAGGTACCCTGTGTGTGCGTGTGTGCGTATGCACATGAATCTGAGCGAGCGGGCAGGTGCCGTGTGTGTGTGTGTGTATGTGCACACGAATGTGAGCGAGCAGGCAGGTACCCTGTGTGTGCGTGTGTGCGTATGCACATGAATCTGAGCGAGCGGGCAGGTGCCGTGTGTGTGTGTGTGTATGTGCACACGAATGTGAGCGAGCAGGCAGGTACCCTGTGTGTGCGTGTGTGCGTATGCACATGAATCTGAGCGAGCGGGCAGGCGCCGTGTGTGCGTGTGTGTGTGTGTGAATGTGATTGAGCAGGCACTCTGTGTGTGTGTGCATGTGTGTGTGAATTTGAGTGAGCAGCAGGCACCCTGTGTGTGTGCATGTGAACATGAGTGAGCAGCAGGCACCCTGTGTATGTGTGTGAACGTGAGTGAGCAGCAGGCACCCTGTATGTGTGTGTGTGCATGAACATGAGTGAGCAGCAGGCACCCTGTGTGTGTGTGTGAATGTGAGTGAGCAGCAGGCACCCTGTGTGTGCACGTGAATGTGTGCTAGTAGGCACGTGCGTGTGGGGGTGGCAAGTGTGGGAGGGCATGAGTGCACAGTGTAAGTGGACTGAGCATGGGAGCAAGTGTGTGAGGGGTGTGAATACGTGTGAGGGGACATGAGTGTGGGAGTGCACACAAGTGTATGCGTGTGTGTGTCCGCCCCTCCGGGGAAGTGGCCTGGCCCTGTTCTCAGAGTCTGGAGTGCCCTGCTCTAAGAACGCGTTGTGGCACGCCTGCCCTTCCTGGCGTGGCTCGTGGGTCCCGGCCGTCAGGT